ACATAGGTGACATGACCAAGAACTCAGACCATCTGCAATCTTATAGAGAGCAGTGGCTTTAACATATTGTTATCCAAGGTTCACGAGTTAGGCAATTAAGAAAGCTAATAATCGAGGTTTGGGACTTACTGTGAAGTCTCTTTTGGCCTTGTCATTTGGTTTCCCCAAGTTGTAGTCTTGAACGCAGATTCTATCCATGGAGACACCTGGCGGCCACAGCCTTAGGAGTTCTAAAATAATTAAAATTCACAAATGGTTATATCTCATAAATACATCCTAAATTCACTATATTCCCCAAACATTTTTTTGTAGGAGACATCATCGTCTTAGCCTTGATTCTCCGGTTCTTTCATAGTAGAGTTATTGGCATTGAAGTTCGTCTTGATAATTTCATGCTTGAGATGTTCATTAACTAAATAAACAATTATAGGTATTTACCTATAGCCTCTACGACTATTTCCCCATCACTAGCTAGCAGTATGTGTATCCTAGCTTAATATCTATTTTCTAATCTTACTCCTTAATAGATACTTTTGTATAATAGTTGTAGTTGTGGACAGTCATCATCATTATCATCACGGTGAAAGAATCACGATGATCGATATTACAGTCTCAAGACCTTGAGTTGGATGCCACAGTGGAACAAATATAGGTTCGTAGTTTATCTACACGAATGATAAAATAGGATTACCTGAAACAACCATATCCAAATACACCATATTCTGTATGGAGTTGTAGTCAAATTTTCCATTGTTCCTCTCCTTGTTTTCCTTGATTTCTTCAACCAATTTGTCTTGTACTTCAGGGTTGAGAGCCAATTCGTGAAGGAGGAACGTCATTGCCGATGAAACGGTTTCAAAACCAGCAACGAAGAAAAGAACTGCTTGAGCGATGATGTCGTCATCAGTCCAGACTGCAATTAAACCCCCTTGAATCTACGGTTTTCTCTTAAAGGTGATGATTTCAAAAACACGACGAACAAAAGCATGAGTTTACGAAGGGATTCAGTCTTTTTTTATGATTGAGGGTTTACTGGTGGCCCGGAGGCCTTTCCAGTTTCATCAGGGTAGATTGACGAGCAAAGGCTCAGCCAGAAGCGGTGGGATTTGTTAACAGCTGTCCGAGCGCCTCCGAAGTAGACCTAACAACTCAAGAGCAGCTGCTTCGCGAATGAATCTACCGGATCGGAATTGCGACACACTAAGAATGTCCAACGAGAAACTCAGCGAACTGATGCATGGGTTAGGTTGCACTTCGAACTTTTTGTCGAGTTCGACGACTACGGTTATCGGGGTCCCTAAGCCTGCTCCTAGTGTTAAAGCTGAAGGCCTCTAATGCAAAGGTTATTGGATTTGATGGATCCGTAAGGATATGTCTAGGGCGTCGGCGGTGACTGGCTTCTGTATGATCCGGATTCGGGGAGTAGTCAGCGGCGCCAACAATAAGGTGATTATCCTGACGCATAGCCTTATCGAAGTACCGTTCCAACACTGACTTCATGTGTTTTTGGATCGACTTGAGGTCCAGGTCGTCGTGTAGGTCGACGTTCCTCACGAACCAGGGCTCCGACGGCTAATTTGCAAAAACGAGATTGTAGGGATTGGAGGGACTCGATGTGTGCACTCTATATGGGCCGCGTGAGCGAACACCACACTCGCGTTAGTTATGACGGGCCTTATGCCAGTTTTGTAAAGTGTCACCTTGTTCCGAAGGGATATTTTACTCCACTTACAGATCATGGGGTAGTCTACCGAGAATAAACGAGGCAGAGTTGCGGCTTGATTTTATATTTATTTATTTATTTATTATTGTTAACATAGAAGCAGAAACACACAATATTTGGGCGGAATGTCATGGATA